CTGATATAGAGTTGAGTTTTGCAGTGATATTGGAGTAGGATTTGAATTACATAATCTTCTGCTTTGGGTAAGAGCGCTGCGCTCTGGGCAATAGTTGTTCAACATAGCAGCAATTGACCATTTAACTGTTTGATTTGCCTCAAGGGGCACAATGGTAGTGTCCCTGCCTCTGAGCCAGGAAGCCTGGATTCAGGTCCCACCTGCTCCAGAAGTGTCTAATAACATCCCGGAACAGGCTGATTAGAAAATGATATTGATATGTCTCAATCGCTCCAAAATCTGTGTCTCTTTCATGGGGGATCTGGGCTGGAGGATGTTGCAGACAGCAGTCCCTCACAAGATGGATCATGGGCTCCCAACCTAACTGTTGTAGTTGCACACCTCTTTTAGTTACTTGTACTTGAAAAGTCTTTTTGCAGCACCTGAGTCATGCACTGTTATTTGGTGGTCATCAATGTGGAGGGGGTCACGCGGATTAGAGAACCTCCTCATGAGGCTTGCTCCTTGGCCAAACTAATCATCATCTGTGGGCTATGAAAAGGGTTGTCAATCTTAACTGTCTGCCCCTCTTTCACAGCTGTGTTTGTCCCTGAGTATCCTTGGAGAGGGAGTACAGGGTGTCCATCAACACTATCGAAGCCTTTGGAGTGAGGTGGGCACTGCTGGGGACTGCAGTGTATTATCTTCCCCCCCCAACACCATCTCAATTTAACCCTTCCCTTGTTTCCCCTGTCTTTTTGTATTTTAGTCGAGTTGCACTGCCCCTGGTGGACAGTGTTTATTAATTGTCATTATTTGATAACTTATTTGAGTGTTTTCCTGGTAGGTTTCTTGAAAAACAAATTAATGCACTGAGATAACAATACAGAGATGGCTGGAAATACTCATCAAATCTGGCAGCATCTGTGGAGAGAAATCAGGGTTAATCTTCAGGTTGAGTGACCCTTCCTCAGTACTGATGCACTGAGATTTTTTTTATCTGATGCACTAACGTTCTGTAATTTGGGAACTATTCTTGTAGCCCACCTTCGAATGTTTTCCGAATCCTTCATGACACCAATGAAAGTTGCACACATTATTTTAACTGTGACAAGGACAAAGTGGTGTACTTTGTTTCGCATTGATATACTTTGTACTGTATTGAGCAGTCCTGTCAATAGAACGTGATCATCTCTTAGGCCTGGCTGCAGGTCTTTGAATAAGGTGTTAAGTCTCTGTCAGGAACAAAAACAGAAGTTGCTGGAAAAGCTCAGCAGGTTTGGCAGCATCCGTGAAGAGAAAATCAGAGTTAACGTTTTGGGTCCGGTGACAGGTGGATGTTAGAGATTCCATGTCACAATCTGAAGAAGAATGGAGGACCCAGTGTTATGGGCCATTGCAAACCTCAATTGTAAGTAGCCCCTTGTGATTGATTCCTTGTTGCAGGAGCTTATTACAAGCAATCTGTGGCCATTGTTACTGCTTTACAACAGTGACTTTACTTCTAAAGTGCTTCATTGGCAATGAGATGGTTTAGCACATCCTGAAGTCCCATGCTTCTCAACATGGGTCATGATCCTTCAGAGAATTGTGAAGTGCAATGCTAGTATCTTTTACAAACTACTGACTTCAGATCTGTCCCCTGTAAAGTGTGAGTATATTTAGTCTTGGATCGCCCTTGTGGTTTTCTGGGTTAAATATCATTTGCAAAGTCTTGGCCCATTCTTGCAGCACTGTTAAATCTTGCAGCTAAGTCTTCCATTGTCCTTATGTATGTACATATATTCATTAAAGCTTTAATTGATTCTGCTGTTTCATGTAGTTTCCTCTAATTAATATTTTGTATCTTGTCATTCAAGAGGTTGTTTGAAGAAGTAACAGAATCCTGGGCTGAGTAAAGACAGGCGTGGAGTACAAAAGAGAGAGAATTCTTGCCAGATCTTTACAGATCACTGGTATGTTCCAGCGTCCAATTGTGGGTGCCACAGCTTTGGAAAGATGTCAAGGCCTTGGAGATAATGTAGATGAGGTTGACCTGACTCCTACTGGGGTGGGGTACTTCGGTTATGCGGAGAGACCAGAAAAGTTGGGATTGTTGTCCTTGGAACCCAGATAATTCTGATTCAATTTATTGAAAAACCTCAAATATATCAAGGTTCGATGATGTGTAGGGAGAAACTGTTTCCACATGTAGAGGTCACTAATCACAGGAGTCATAGAGTTGTACAGGACGGAAACAGACCCTTTTGTCCAACTTGCCCACACCGACCAGATATCCAAAGTTAATCTGGTCCCGTTTGCCAGCATTTAGCCTATGTCCTTCTAAACCCTTCCTATTCATATACCCATCCAGAAGCCTTTTAAATTTTGTAATTGTACCAGCCTCCATTACTTCCTCTGGCAGCTCATTCCATACACGCACCACCCTCTGCATGAAAAGGTTGCCCCTTAGGTCCCTTTTAAATCTTTCCCCTCTCACCTTAAACCTATGCCCTCTAGTTTTGGACTCCCCTGCCCTGGGAAAAAGACCTATCCATACCCCTCATGATTATATAAATCTGTATAAGGTCACTGCTCCAGGGAAAATAGCCCCAGCCTATTCAGCCTCTCCCTATACGTCAAACCTCCAACCCTAACAACATCCTTGTAAATCTTTATTGAACCCTTTCAAGTTTAACAACATCTGTCCAATGGCAGAGAGACCAGAATTGAATGTGTTTCAGATAATTGGTAAAATAATGGGGTGGGGAGACGATGAGAGTTTTTTTTCCACACACCTGAGTAAATGAGAAAAACTAATTAACTAATGAACTGTCCCTTGGAAGGGAGTGTCGCTAAAACAAAAGCTTTGCCATAAGTCACAGCGTCATTTTCAGGGCTAATGTTGCACTGCAGCTCCTGTGGCACTCACTGGTCACTCGTGATTCCTCCCCAAGGACACCCAGGCCATGATGTTGCTGTAAGAAGAGAAACAGGTTGTGGCAACTAACAGCCTTTTCAACTATCCACTGACTGGATCTGTTTATGGCCACCTTATCCACAGGGAATTCATTTTTATGTGCGTTGTTATCATCCATTGCTTGACATTAGCAGTGGGCATATTGTCAGTAATAAATTTCAGCAGGAAAACGAAAATATCCCAGAAAGGAATAAATTGCAGTGCTATGGGGGAAAGAGCAGGGGACGGCAACTAATGGGTGATAGGCTGAATGGTCACCTTCAGTGATTCAAGGTTCTATGAACTTCCACAGCGTTGTTGAACCTGCACTTGCTAATGGTTCTAGCTGATACGGGCTCTTGGAGCTAAGTTACAGATTCAGTGCTCGAGTCCTCCTGATGGTGGGATGACCAGCATTCACTGAGAAAAACAACACTGGAAGGGCCAGCAGAGAGGTCACCAGCCTGTGTTGTATTACACTGTCAGTCTCACCAGTACCGAGAGTTGTTTCCTGGCAACAAATAAGAGAACGAGCTGGAGAAACTCAGCAGGTCTGGCCGCATCTGTGAAGAGAAAGCAGAGTTAGCCTTTCGTATCCGGTGACCCTTCCTTCGCCGTGTCTGTGCTTTCTCTCCGCCGACCTGCTGAGTTTCTCCAGCTATTTCTGTTTTTCGTTCCAGGTTTCCAGCATCCACAGTTGTTTAACAGCAGCTGGCTGCAGGACCGTGGCAGAGGGGAACGGGGGAGAGCCTGCTGCTTCCTCGTTTAATTTTATCTTTTTCTTTCTTTCCACTATTGCAGTTAAATATGTGTCCCCTGAACCTGACTTTTAGTGCCTGTGGATTTTTGGGGATTTACCACTTGGGGGCAGCAGTTGCTCTTCACAAACATGGGAACAAGTTACTCAGTAAAATACAGAACTACGCTGGAGCCTCTGGTGGAGCTTTAGTTGCGGCTGTTCTGCTTTCACAACCCGAAAAACTGGAGGTAAGTAAGAAAGGAATTCCAATAAATGCTGTGCTGTGGATTACCTACTATCAGGATTTTCATTAGGTAGCATTTTTGTATGCAATTCAGAATTTCTACACAATATTGCAGTGTGTGCCCATTTAATGCTTTTTAATCTGACATGCCAGCCCTTTCCTCCTGCATTTTCACATTTTTCTTTTCCTCCTCAAGTATTAATTTGATGCCAGATAGAGTTACAACTCCAGTAATATAATAAAACAAAATTACTGCAGATGCTGGAACTCTGAAATTAAAGCAGAAAGTGCTGGAGAAACTCAAGCAGGTCTGGAAGCATATGTGGAGAGAGAAACATAATTAACGTTGTCAACACAGCGAGGAGCTGGAGGAACACGGCAGGTCAGGCAGCATCAGAGGAGCAGGAAAGTCGACGTTTCGGGTCAGGAACCTTTTATCAGAACCAGTTCTGGGTGCCACAGCTAAAGGTCTTGGAGATAACGTAGAGGAGGTTGACCTGACTCTTACTGGGGTAGGGTACTTCGGTTTTGCGGAGAGGCCAGAAAAGTTGGGATTGTTGTCCTCAGAACCCAGATAATTCTGAGTCAATTTATTGAAAAGCCTCAAATATATCAAGGTTTCATGATATGTAGGGAGAAACTGTTTTCACTTATAAAGGTCACTAATCACAGGAGTCATAGAGATGTACAGGACGGAAGCAGACCCTTCGGTCCAACTCGCACACACCAACCAGATATCTAAAATTAAAATTAATCTAAAATTAAAATTGAGGTTCACTAGGTTGATTCCGGAGTTGACGGGGTTGGTTTATGAGGAGAGACTGAGTAGATTGGGATTATATTCATTGGAATTCAGAAGATTGAGGGGGGATCTTATAGAAACATATAAAATTATGAAGGGAATAGATAAGGTAGAAGTAGAGAGGATGTTTCCACTGGCAGGTGAAGCTAGGACGAGAGGGCATAGCCTCAAGCTTAGAGGGAGCAGATTTAGGACTGAACTGAGAAGGAATTTCTTCACCCAGAGGGTTGTTAATCTATGGAATTCTTTGCCCAGTGAAGTAGTTGACGCTACTTCAGTAAACGTTTTTAAAAAAAAGGTAGATTTTTTTTGAACAATAAAGGAATTAAGGGATACGGTGAGAATGCGGGTAAGTGGATCTGAGTCCATGAAAGGATCAGCCATGATCTTATTGAATGGCGGAGCAGGCTTGAAGGGCCAGACGGCCTACTCCTGCTCCTACTTCTTATGGTTTTATATTCTGTGTAATCTAGTCCTGTTTGCCAGCATTTGGCCCATATCCCTCTAAACCCTTCCTATTCATGTACCCATCCAGATGCCTTTTAAATGATGTAATTGTACAGCCTCCACCACTTCCTCTGGCAGCACATTCCACACATGCACTACCCTCTGCGTGAAAAAGTTGCTCCTTGGGTCGCTTTTTAAATCTTTTCCCCCCTCACCTTAAACCTATGCTCTCTAGTTTTGGACTCCCCTACCCTGGGAAAAAGACCTTGCTATTCACCCTATCCCTGCCCCTCATGATGTTGTAAACGTGTATAAGGTCACCCCTCAGCCTCCGACGCTCCAGGGAATACGGCTCCAGCCCTATTCAGCCTCTCCCTATAGGTCAAACCTTCCAATCCTGGCAACATTCTTGTAAATCTTTCCTGAACCCTTTCAAGTTTAACAACATCTTTCCAATGGCACGGAGACCAGAACTGAATGTATTTCAGATAATTGGTGGGGAGAAGATGAGAGTCTTTTTTTCCACACTCTTGAGTAAATGAGAAGAGCTAATTAATTAATGAACTGTCCTTTGGAAGGCACTGTCACTAAAACAAAAGCTTCGCCATAAGTCACAGCGTCATTTTCAGGGCTAATGTTGCACTGCAGCTCCTGTGGCACTCACTGGTCACTCGAGATTCCTCTCCACGGACACCCAGGCCATGATTTTGCTGCAAGAAGCGAAACAGGTTGTGGCAACTAACAGCCTTTTCAACAAGTCCTGAAGAAGAGTCCTGACCCAAAACGTCGACTTTCCTGTTCCTCTGATCCTGCCTGACCTTCTGTGTTCCTCCAGCTCCACACTGTGTTGATTATGACTCCAGCATCTACAGTTCTTACTATCTCAACATAATTAACATTCCTATCGAGTCCGATAGGAACTCAAAACCTTCAGAACTGAAAGGGGCTGGTAAATGGTGTTTTCATCCTGCAGGCAGAGGGGGAAGGAGGAGTGTGTGCCGCAAATGGTGAGGATGCCCAGAGTAAAACAAAAATGGAGTGCTAATGATGTTAAAGGCATCGTAGAGATGTAAAATAGGTGTAAATGACACAGGTGAGAAGGAGAAAATGGGTCCGCTCGACTGAAAGCAAAGTCAACAAGAGATGAGGCATGGCTGAGTGAGGGTGGGGGTTTCGATATAAGAAAAGTGGAGGACAGAGGCCATCGTCTTAAGTTGTGGAACTCAATATTGAGTCTTAGAGGCTGTAAGATGCCTAAGTGAAAAATAAGGATATTAAAATAATTTAGTTTGTGTGTTGAGTTTCATTGGAATACAATAACAGGCCTAGAATGGAAGTAACTACTAGCATGCCCTCTTGCCTGGCCTCCTGTTCTGTGACATTGAGGTCAGCCAAAGGTCTACAGTCCGTGCTTTAACTTGCAGCAAGTGCTGTTCACTCATCAGCCTCCATGCTCACTGACCTACTTTGTACTACATTGGTCAAATAATGGCTTTACTTTTAAAATTTTCATCCTCGTTTTGAAATCCCTCCATGCTGTCATCCCTCCCTGCAATCTCTGTAATCTCCCTTGCTCCCGCAACCCTAGGAGACATATGCCGTCCTCTACTTCTAGCTTGTCGAACATCCTTAATATTTGACATTTCACTACTCGTGATCAAGTCTTCAACCTAAGCTTTGGAATTCTATACTTACACCTTTCTTCGCTCTGCATTGTTCCCCCCCAGATGCCACTCTGAAATCCTACCTCTTTTAGACCAATCGACCTAATATCTGTTGATCTGGTTCAGTATCATGGTTTCATACAGTAATACTCCTGTGGAGCATTTTGGAATGCTTTGTTATATGAAACACACGATGTAGATATAAATTTGTGTTGATTCCCTCTTCGGTTCTGTCATCTGTAAAAATCCACACATGGCAAGGCTTTATATTTTTAATAACAGTCTGTGTGAAACAGCGGCCCTGAATTTTGTGGCAGTAATGACAGAAAAACTGTCAATGTTCCACCATCTCCTTTGAAATTGATTTCTGGAGTCTGCACATATGCAATTATTAAAAGATGCAGAAATCTAGTTGTTGCTGTTTCTAAGTTTCCCTTTTGGGTGTGCTGTTGACATTCCAGCAGTCTGTAGTTAACCAGAAATCCTGGAATTGACGGGAATGTGCACTTTAGCCTTTTGTGTAAATTATTCTTGAAAAGTGGCATGTTGTTCATAGAATCCCTACAGTGTGGAAGCGGGCCATTCGGCTCATCAAGTCCACACTGACCCTCCAAACAGCATCTCACTCAAACCCACCCCCTACCCTATCCCTGCATTTCCCATCACAGATACTATGGGCAATTTAGCATGGCCAGTCCACCTAGCCTGCACATCTTTGTGACTGTGGGAGGAAACCGGAGCACCCGGAGGAAACCCACGCAGACACGGGGAGAATGTACAAACTCCGCACACTCACGCGAGGCTGGAATCGAACCCGGATCCCTGGCTTATTCAACTTCATTGTTGAATGAGGCATTATTGGACTTTCAACAATGAAGTAACTTCCTAATTTTAAATAACCTCTCTTAACAATGAATAAACTAATTTGATACGTGTGAATATAGAATTTTTCCAAAGTAGTGTCATTGAGTTGTACAGCATGGAGACAGACTCTTTGGCTCAACTTGTCCATGCTGACCAGATATCCCAAATTAATCTCGTCCCATTTGCCAGCATTTGGCCCATATCCCTCTCAACTCTTCCTATTCATACACCCATCCAGATGCCTTTTAAATGTTGTAATTGTACCAGCCTCCACCACTCCCTCTGGCAGCTCATTCCATACACGCACCACCCTCTGCGTGAAAAAGTTGCCCCTTGGGTCCCTTTTAAAATTTTCCCCTCTCACCTTAAACATATGGCCTCTAGTGTTGGACTCCCCTACCTTGGGGAAAAGACCTGATAAAAAATGATATTTAATTTTTTTTTGTTTTAAAAATAGTTTGCTGACATTATTTTGACCTGGGTCCCATGTTTATGTCCCAATCTTTATTTTATTCTTTACAAAACGGTGTATTAAAAGGAAAATATGTGCCTTTAAATTCCTAGTTTGCTGTCTGGAGAATACTTCAGCAAGATAGGGTGCTTATTCTTACTGGGTACCTGGAAATATATTACTGGTTTGATTCTTGTAATCTTGGAAAATGTGGTGGTTGTACTTGGTAAGCCTCCAATGGTATAGCAATCATATAAACTCCTTGAGTGATTCAGTGACACTTGGAAACTAGACTGCGTTTGCACCGATCTGTTAAATATCCCAGATAACATTCATCACTAGACAGTGAAGACAGATTTGTCGCTATTTTAACCGCCTGAAAGGTTAGAACATAGAACAGAGAAACCTACAACACAGGAGCAGTTCCTTCAGCCCAACATGTCTGCACTGACCATGATGCTATTCTAAAGTAATCCTATCTGCTTGCATATGGTCTGTTTCCCTGTATTCCCTGCCTGTTCACATGTCTGTCTACATGGCTCTGAAACATTGCTATTGTATCTGCTTCTACCACTTCCCCTGCCAGTACGTTCCAGGCACCTACCACCCCTACCTAAAAAAACTTGCCTCGCATATCTTCTTTAAACTGTGCCCCCTCTCACCTTAAAACTATGCCCCCTAGTATTTGACATTTCCACCCTTGGAAAAAGAGTGACTATCCACCCTACCCCTGCCTCTTATAATTTTGTATACTTCTATCAGATCGCCCTCAGTTCTACTGAAAACAATCCAAATGTGTCCGACCTGTCCTTATAGCTGGAACGGTAATCCAGGCAACATCCTGGTAAACCTCTTCGCCCCCACCCACTCACTCCACACCCTCCCACCAACACACCACACGCCTCACTCTCCCCCATGCCCCCCCACTCACGCTCTCCCCCACACTCACCCCCACAAACCCCCACTCGTTCCATTAGCTCACCCCGCACCCACACACTCCCTACTCTCACTCCTGCTGCCTACTCACCCCTCCACACCCTCAAACTCACCCCACCCCCTCTCTCACCCCACTCTCCCTGCTCATATTCCTGCTGTACCCACTCACCCCCCACGCCTCATCCATCCCCAACGACCTTCTGCAAAATCAGCTCTCGGGCATCCTTGGTCTCCTCCACTGTCAGGGTGAGGCCAAACATAAACTGGAGGAACAACTGGAGGGGGAGGTGGTGGCCTAGTGGTATTATTGCTGGACTGTTAATCCAGAGACCCAGATAACATTCTGGAGACCCAGGTTCAAATCCCATCATGGCAGGTGGTGGAATTTGAATTCAAAAAATATCTGGAATTAAGGATCTAAGGATGACCATGAATCCATTGTCAACTGTCGGGAAAAACCCAACTGGTTCACTAATGTCCTTTAGGGAAGGAAACTGCCATCCTTACCTGGTCTGGCCTACATGTGACTGCAGACCCACCGCAATGTGGTTGACGCTCAACTGCCCTCTGGGCAATTAGGGATGGGTAATAAATGCTGCCTAGCCAGCAAAGCCCTCATCCCGTGAATGAATAAAGAAAAAAAACCTCATATTTTGCCTTGGGAGCTTACAGCCCAATGGCCTGAATATTGATGTCACCAGCTTCAAGCTCTCCACACCCCTAACCTGTCCATCTCGTGGGTTTAGAGGCTCTTGCAGGAAGTAAAATCTAATACCTCCTCGTATACTTTTAATGCTGCCAGGTGTTAGACTGGCCCGCTGTTTGGGGTGCTCTGTTTTCTGGTCGCCAGCTCTGGACCTCGCGACTACTGCGGTCTCAAAGATGCCTTGCCCATTTCCTTCTACATGCCATAAGCCCTGATAGTGATTGTCATCTTTGATATCTTTGCAGAACAGAAAAAAAGACAGTGTGCAAATGGAAAGGTTATAACCCACCTGAACTTGTCTATTCCTGTTTGAATTTAAACGCAGCCTATTAGGGGCACTTTAGGCACGGTGGTAATGTCCCTAGCTCTGAGCCAGGTGGCCTGGATTCAAATCCCATCTGTTGTGACACATCTCTAGACTGGTTGATTAGAAATACCTCTTTAAATGCAAGCATAGAGAGACTGTTGTGATGCAGTGGTAGTGTCCCTCCTTGTGAGCCAGAGGGTTTAAGAGTTGTGTAATATATCTCTCCACAGGTTGATTTAGGATTTTTTAAAATGAGTACAAACATGCACAAATGACCACAAAGAGTGTGCTGCGACATTGGCTAGCTGTCATCATGTTGTGGTACCACATCTGAACCTCGTTCTCTCTTAATGTCCATGTGCCTGCTTTTGAAATACAGAATGGGTACCTGGCTTTCTAAACAGAGACACGGAACCTGATTTTGCCACTGAGGCAGGTAATTCAGATGAGATGCAATTGGGTACACTCACTCCAGAAGCAGAGCTTTGCCAGTCAGGGGAAAAGCAAGTGTTTGGAGAATAAATGGCTCAGCTCCCTGGGACATCATCCCAGTGTTTCATAAGTTGTAGGCCCTTTAGCACTCTCACTCACTCACCCACACCCCATGGACTCTCATACCTTCCATGCCACCCCAAGCCAACTCATGCCCTGACCAATCCCCTTGACTCCTCATACCTCCATGCCAACTCATACTCCAACACCCACTACTTTTAGACCCTCCATGCCAACTCACCTAGTACCTACAATGGAGAGACTGCAGGAACAAATATGAAGTTGAAAAAAAATGTCTAACTCATCCAATGTATCTCTCACTCCTGTACACTTGATAGTGAAATAAAACAATTAAAGAAACCTATTCAAAGCTTTTAAATTTCCTCACATTTAGCACGCTTGCTTTCATTGCTCAGATCTTTGAGTATTGGAGTTGGGAAGTCATCTTGAGGTTGTCTAGAACATTGTTGAGGCCTCTTCTAGAATACTGTGTCCAGTTCTGGTCTCCCTGTTATAGGAAAGATATTAGTTAGCTATGGAGGGTTCAGAAGAGATTTACCAGGATGTTGCTGGGAATGGAAGGTTTGGGTTATAAAGAAAAACTGGATAGGCTGGAACCTTTGTTCACTGGAGTGTAGGAGGTTGAGAGGTGGTCTTATAGAGGTTTATAAAATCATGACGTTTATAGAAAGGATTAAAGGTAGGTGTCTTATCCGTAGGATAGGGCACATTTTTAAGGTGAGAGGAGAGAGATTAAAAATGCATGAGGTGCAGATGTTTTACACAGAAGATTGTTCGTGTGTGGAATGAACTTTCTGAGGAAGTGATGGATGTGGCCACAACTACAATGTTTAAGACATTTGGAGAAGTACATGAATAGAAAAGGTTTGCAGGCACATGAGCCAGGAGCATGCAAGTGGGACTAGTTTAGTTTGGGATTATGTTCGGATTGGACTGGATGGACCGAAGGATCTGTTTCCGTGCTGTAAGACTCTATGACTCTTAACAGTTTTATTAAAACTGAGCAAACTGCTACTTTTTTTTAATGGAGGCAAAATACTACAGATGCTGGAAAACTGAAAAACATAAAATGCTGGAGGAATTCAGTTCTGAAGAAGAGCCTTTGAGGTTAATTTTGTTAACTCTGTTTCCCTCTCCATAGATGATTGACAGACCTGCTTTGTTCCTCCAGCACTTTGTGTTTTAATTGCTAAAGCCTTGGCATTTTGTGTAGTTTAATTAGCCCCCTAACCATGAATAGATTATGGTAAAGCCTTTTTAATTTTTGATTTCTCTTTATCTTCCCCCTCAGCAATGCAAGGAATTTACTTATGCATTTGCAGCTGATGTTCGGAAACAGAAACTTGGAGCCTTAACACCAGGTTATGACTTCATGAAACAGTTGAGGTAAGAGAAGAATTTAGGACAAGAGGAGGCCATTCGGTCTCTCAAGCTTGTACCAGCAAACAGCTCACAGCTGATTTATGCTTCAACTCTCTGTATCCAGTTTGATGCCCTTACCGCAGCCAAATCTGGCAAATCTCCATCCTCAACAACTTTGGGAATACTGCGTTTGATTCTCGTCTCCCTGCTTTGGGAAAGATGCTGTGAAACTTGAAAGGGTGCAGAAAAGATTTACAAGAATGTTGCTGGGGCTGGAGGGTTTGAGCTGTTGGGACAGGCTGAATAGGCTGGGGCTATTTTCCCAGGAGTGTTGAAGGCTGAGGGGTGACCTTTACAGAGGTTTATAAAATCATGAGGGGCATAGATAGGGTGAATAGCCAAGGTCTTTTTCACAGGGTAGAGGAGTCCAAAGCTAAAGGGTTTAGAGGGATATGGGCCAAATGCTGGCAAATGGGACTAGATTAATTTAGTATATTTGGTCGGTAAGGACAAATTGCACCAGAGGGTCTTTTTCCGTGCTGTACATCTCTGTAACCCTTTCTCAGGGATGAGACTTCCAGATGTCCTTCTGGTGAAGAAGTGCTTCCTGAAAATACAATCAAAAGGCCTAACTCCAATTTGAACATTGTGACCAGTGTTTTCTCCTGGGCTTCTTTTTGTCACAAAAGTACTTTCAATTTGGGTTTGAGTTTGACAGAACTCCCCGTGTGGAGTTTGCACATTCTCCCTGTGTCTGTGTGGGTTTCCTCCGGGTGCTCCAGTTTCCTCCCACAGTCCAAAGATGTACAGGTTAGGGTGGATTGGCCATGGGACAGTTACAGGGTTAGGACTGGGGGAGGGAGGAGGTGGGAGTAGGAGTTGCTCTGGGTGGGATGCTCTTCAGAGGATTGGTATGGACTTGATGGGCTGAATGGCCTGCTCCCACACTGTGGGGATTCTATAATTCTTCCTGATCAACTGGGAGGCGACCAGCTCAACCTGGCAATCATAGGTCTGGCCAGTTGCCTCTTGATATTTGATTGTTCTGCACTGTCCAAGGAGTCGTGATAAACTGAGGCTTTGGTCAGTTCAGGTGTATGTAAAAGCTTCTCACTGCTAAGCGATTTTCCATGCTATAGGCAGAGAGAAAGATGTTGTCCAGATTTACATTCCTGCTTCCAGCAACACAAGCAAATAAAAACCCATGCATATTCCACCCACTCCTGGGTACTTGTGGTTGATGCTTTTTTTAAATTCATTCATGAGATGATGGTGTCACTGGCTAGGCCAGCACTTAGTGCCCATCCCTAATTGCCCACATCACTGTGGGTCTGGAATCACAGATAAGCCAGCCCAGGTAAGGGTGGCAGTTTCCTTCCCTAAATGACATCAGTGGGCCATTGCTTCCAACAATCAAAGCTGGGAATACTGCAGCGAGTAACTCACCTCCTGACTCCTCAAAGCCTGTCCACCATCTACAAGGCTCAAGTCAGGAGTGTGATGGAATACTCCCCACTTGCCTGGATGAGTGCAGTCCCAACAACACTCAAGATGCTTGGCACCATCCAGGACAAAGCATCCCACTTGATTGGCGCCACATCCACAAACATCCACTCCCTCCACCACCAACACTTTGTAGCGGCAGCGTGTACTATCTACAAAATGCATTGCAGAAATTCACCAAAGATCCTCAGACAGCACCTTCCAAACCCACGACCGCTTCCATCTAGAACGACAAGGGCAGCAGATACATGGGAACGCCGCTACCTTCAAGTTCTCCTCCAAGTCACTCACCATCCTGACTTAGAAATGTATCGCTGTACCTTCACTGCCGCCAGGTCAAAATCCTGGAATTCCCTCCCTAATGGCATTGTGGGTCAACCCACAGCAGGAGAACTGCAGCGATTCAAAAAGGCAGCTCACCACCACCTTCTCAAGGGGCAACTAGGGATGGGCAAGAAATGCTGGCCCAGCCAATGACATCCACATCCCACAAAATGAATAAGAAAAGAATGTCAACAATGGATTCATGGTCATCGTTAGACTCTTAATTCCAGATTTTTATTGAATTTAATTTCCACCATCTGCCGTGGCAGGATTCGAACCTGGGTCCCCAGGACGTGTGAGGTTTAAGATGTCCTGAGGATGTAATTAGGGGCAGTTAGGGCACTGAGGGAACTAAGGATTAGGAGTGTAGACAGGGAAGTTGAGGTAGAGGAGCAGCCCTGATTTTATTGACTGGTGCAGCAGGCTTGAGGGATAGTTTGGTGTGCTCCTGTTTTTCATTTTAACACAAATTCTTACTATTTTCTTCATTGTTATATGTTAGTAACATTGTAATATGACGGAAAGATTTTCTTTTAAATATTTCTAGCAGAATATTATAGTCAACATATTTTAAGATTTCAAAACTAATGACCAATGGAAAACTCCCTCTCTGTGGTTGAGAGTCAGTGGTGACTGGCCAGTCATTCATGAGGATTAACCATCTCCTCCAAGAAGCATTTAAATGTAAAATTCCAAATGTGACACACACTGATGATCATGTATTTTATCCAGCAGTTCTCATAATTTTCTATTTTTTTTTTAAAGAGAAATTTCACAGGCTATTAAACCCATTAGTATCTCTGTTTAATTGTAGTTGCTCTATCTGCATTTCTCTAATCTCTTGGTTTTCTCCCTGGTACTGTTCTATAACCAAATAAAATAATTTTAACTAGTAAAAAGGTTGATCGGCTTAATTATTTTATATACCCTACATCCTATGCTAACAGCCAAGTTGTGTAAGCTTAGTGACAACAGTGCTAGTGTTAAAGATGATGCTAAGGAGGAGCCATTTGATAAACTGGATAATCTGAAAGTCAGTAAGGTTATCATGTCTGGATGAGAAGTGTCCAAAAATACTGAGAGAAGTAGGGAAGGACGTTGTGAAGTGGGCCATAATTTTCTGATCCTCCTGAGATACAGGAGTGGTGCTAGAGGACAGGAGAATTGCAAACGTCACACCACTATTCAAAAGGTGGGGGTAAGGATAACCCCAGCAGCTACAGCCCAGTGTGGAGGGAAAGGTTTCATAGGTGATAATCCAGGACAAAGTTAACAGTGTCTTGCATAGGTGTGCCACAATGAAAATCCAGCATGACTCTGTTAAAGGTTAATCATATTTAAGTAAATCTTTTGATGAAGTAACACGAACTGGTTGATATGGTAGACATGGACTTCCAGAAGGCGATTCTGCTTCTAATTTGTTCCACATAATGGAGTTTTCAGCAAAGCTGCAGCATGTGGAAAAGCATATTGTAAATGCAAAGTTGAATGAGCGATAGGAAATAGAGAGTAGTAGTGAAGGCTTCTTTGGTCTGGCAGCATCTGTGAAGAAAAAGTCAGAGTTAACATTTCGGGTCCGGTGACCCTTCCTCAGAACTGACCCAAAACATTAACTCTGATTTTTTTCCTTCACAGGTGCTGCCAGACCTGCTGAGCTTTTCCAGCAACTTCTGTTTTTGTTCCTGATTTACAGCATCCACAGTTCTTTTGGTTTTTGTTTGTGAAGGCTTCTTTTATGGACTGGAGGAAGCGTTTCCCAGGCACTGCTGCCTTTCCTGATCTATATTAATGATGTAGACTTAGGTATACAGGATACAATTTCAAAATGTGCCAATGACATAAAGCTTGTAACTATTCGAGACTGTAAAAAAAAGGGCAGTGATCAAACTTTAGAGTGATGTGGATGGGCTGGTGAAATGGGCAGACAGGTAGCAGATGAAATTCATTGCAGAGAAGTATAATGTGATATATTTTGATATAAAGAGCAAGGAGGGGCAATATAAATTAAAAGCCGCAACTCTTATATTTTATAACCTGTTTATCTAATCAACCTGTTCAAAGATGTTATAACCCGCAGCTCTGGAGCAGGTGGGACTTGAACCTGGCCTTCTCAGTTCACCACCACTGTACCACAAGAGGGCCCCTTAGGCTGCAACTTTAAATGGAATGTAAAGGAGAAACACCTGTAGGTATTTGTGCACAGATCATTGAAGGCTGCAGGAATGGGCCCTCTTGGGCACCACGGTGGTGGTGTCCCCAGCCTGGACCGGGAGGCCTGGGTTTAAGTCCCACCTGCTCCAGAGATGTGTAATTACATCTCTGAATGGGTTGATTAGAAAACAGGTTGAAGGCTGCAGGGCTGGCACTGTGATAGTGTCCCCAGCCTGGATCGGGAGCCCGCGTCCAAGTTCCAACTGCTCTAGAGGTTTGTAATAACATCTCTGAACAGGCTTGAATAGAAAGTAGGGTAAATTAAACAGTATCTGAAGGCTGCAAGGCAGATTGAAAATGTGATAAGACAGGCAAATAGCGGTGGTGAGATTGGGACGGTGAGGCAGCCCATAGTGGGATGCTGGCAGAGGCATGGCCAGGGTTGGAAAGCCCGGAGTGGGACTGCGGCAGTGGAAAGGAAAGTTGGACTCTCTTATGTTATCCCTTTTTTAAGTTATTGTGAATGGCGCCATGTATGTATGGCGAAGTTACACACTTTTCGCTGTATTTTTACATTGAATACACGTGACAATAAATGATTCAATCAATCAAACGGAATGCTGAGACTTATAAATAGAGGCAGAGAATACAAACGGATGTTGCAATAGCTTTTATAAAACACAAGAGTGTGTCCAAGCCTGTGGCCTACTTGCACGCCAAACAGCGAAAGCAGCAAGTGATAGACAGAGCTAAGAGCTCCCACAACAACGGATCAGATCTGAGCTCTGCAGACCTGCCACATCCAGCTGTGAATGGTGGTGGACAATTAAACAACTCACTGGAGGAGGAGGCTCCACAAATATCCCCATCCTCAATGATGGAAGAGCCCAGCACATCAGTGCAAAGATAAGGCTGAAGCATTTGCAGCAATCTTCAGCCAAAAGTGCCATGTGGGTGATCTGTCTTGGCCTCCTCCAGTGGTCCCCAGCATCACAGATACTAGTCTTCAGCCAATTGAATTTGCTGCACGTGATATCAAGAAACGGTTGGAGACACTGGATACTACAAAGGCTACCGGCCCTGACAACATTCCAGCAATAATACTGAAGACTTGAGCTCGAGAACTTGCCGCTCCCCTAGCCAAGCTGTTCCAGGACAGTTACAACACTGGTATCTACCTGACAATGTGGAAAATTGCGGAAGTATGTCCTGTACACAAAATAACAGGACAAATCCAATCCAGCCAATTACCGCCCCATCAGTCTCCTCTCGATCATCAATAAAGTGATGGAAGGTGTCAGTAACAGTGCTATCAAGCAGCACCTGCTCAGCAATAACCTGCTCAGTGACGCCCAGTTTGGGTTCCGCCAGGGCCACTCAGCTCCTGACCTCATTACAGCCTTGGTTCAAACATGGACAAAAGAGCTGAATTCCAGAGGTGAGGTGAGAGTGACAGCCCTTGATATCAAGGCCGCATTCGATGAAATGTGGCATCAAGGGGCTGTAGCAAAACTGGAATCAATGGGTGAGATAGCAAGAACTGCCGATGCTGGAGTCTGAGATATCACAATGTGGAACTGGAGGAGCACAGCAGGTCAGGCAGCATCAGAGGAGCAGGAAAGCTGATGTTTTGGGTCGGGACTCGAAACATCAGCTTTCCTCTTCCTCTGATGCTGCCTGGCCTGTCTGGAATCAAAGGGTATCGGGAGCAAACTCTCCGGTGATTGGAATCATACCTGACACATAGGAAGACGGTCGTGGTTGTTGGAGGTCAATCATCTCTGCTCCAGGACATCTCTGCAGGAGCTTCTCAGGGTAATGACCTCAACCCAAACATCTTCAGCTGCTTATCAATGACTTTCCCTCCGTCATGAGGTCAGAATTGGGGATGTTCGCCGATGATTGCACAATGTTCGGCACCATTGGTGACTCCTCCGATACTGAAGCAGTCCATGTTCAAATGCAACAAGATCTGGACAATATCCAGGCTTGGGCTGACAAGTGGCAACTGACATTTGTGCCACACAAATGCCAGGCAATGACCATCACCAATAAGAGACAATCTAACCACCACCCCTTGACATTCAATGGTGTTACCATCACTAAATCCCCCACTATCAACATCCTGGGGGTTATCATTGACCAGAAACTCTGGATTCACCACATAAACACAGTGGCTACAAGAGCAGGTCAGAAGTTGGGAATACTGTTGCGAATAACTCACCTTCTGACTCCCCCAAAGCCTGTCCACCATCTACAAGGTACAAGTCAGGAGTGTGATGGAATACTCCCCACTTGCCTGGATGAGTGCAGCCCCAACAACACTCAAGAAGCTTGACACCATCCAGGACAAAGCAGCCCACTTGATTGTCACCACATCCACAAAACATCCACTTCCTCCACCACCGACGCTCAGTAGCTGCAGCGTGTACTATCTACAAGATGCACTGCAGGAATTCACCAGAGATCCTCAGACAGCACCTTCCAAACCCACGACCACTTCTATCTAGAAGGGCAAAGGCAGCAGATATATGGGAATGCTACCACCTCCAAGATCCCCCCCAAGCCACTCACTATCCTGTCTTGGAAATATATCGCCGTTCCTTCACTGTCGCTGGGTCAAATTTGTGGAATTCCCTCCCTAATGGCATTGTGGGTCAACCTACAGCTGGTGGATTGCAGTGGTTCAAGAAGGCAGCTCACTCCCCCACCTTCTCAAGGGGCAACTAGGGATGGGCAATAAATGCTGGCCAGCTAGTGACGCCCACATCCCAGAAATTAGAAATAAAAGGTTGACTTGGGGGCTTTCAAAAGGGAATGAAATAAACAGCTGAAGTAAAAACAATGCAGGGCTGGGGAAAAGGGCAGGTAAGTGGGACTGGCTGAGTTGCTCTCGTAAAGATCTGTCTCAAACACGACAGACTGATGGCCTCCTCCTGTGTTGTAACCGTTCCCTGATTCCGTGCTATTTCTGTTCCTGTGTTCCCATTTTTGATGCAGTGTTTGGGATTGCAATAAACACAGTTACAGGTGGTTACTGCAAAATGTGAACATGACTGAGGTTTAATGATGTTGCAACAAGCTTGCATCAATTTTGCATTTCTTTTTCTATCATAGTAGTGCTCCAGACAGGTTAGGGGTGCTGAACAGTTGAAAGCAAGTAACGTGGTTTGTGCTTTTACTCCTAAGGGAAGGGATGGAGACTATTCTTTCTGCTGATGCCCATAAGAAAGCTCACGAACGACTCCACGTGTCAATCACAAATGTTAAGACGCTGAAAAATTGTTTGATCTCCTCGTTTCTGACCAGGGAGGACCTCATAACGGTAACTCATTTCAGATTATGCAGCAATGCACTTTTGGATTTACTTCCCAAATGTTAACTGAGAAATAAAATAAAGCCATGCATTTATACAGCACCATTCATGATGAAGGGTGTCTTGAAGCATTTTACAGCCAATAAAGGTGGTGGCAATCTGTAACACTGTGTCAGCTAGGGTGGTAGAAGCTGGAGTCCTTGTAACATTTAAGAAATATTTAGATATGCACTTGTGATGTCAAGGCTAGGGTCAAGTGCTGGAAAATGGGATTAGAATAGTTGGGTGGTTGTTTTTGACTGGCACAGACTCAATGAGGCAAAAGGGCCTTTTTCTCTGCTATAGACCTTGTGACTCTATGAAACTCTTGTTCTGGGAAGTACAGTCACTGTTGTAACTTGTCCTATATCACGTCTGTTCTAACTTTGTGGTCCGTTCCACTGCCTCAACCCACTCTGCAAAAATAAATCAATCTCCCATTCTCTGTCTTTAATCTCTTATTTTCACTATTATCTCTGACACCTTGCTGTTGGCCTCTTTCATAGAAATCCCTACAGTGTGGAAGCAGGCCATTTGGCCCATCGAGTCCACACTGACCCTCTGAAGAATATCCCATCCAGACCCATCCCCCAACCTATCCCTGCAATCCTGCATTTCCCATGGCTAATCCACCTAGCCTGCATATCCCTGGACACTATGGGCAATTTAGCATGGCCAATCCACCTAACCTGCACAACTTTGGACTGTGGGAGGAAACCCACGCTGACATGGGGGCAATGTGCAAACTGCGCACAGACAGTTGCCTGAGGGTGGAATCAAACCCAGCTCCCTGGCACTGTGAAGCAGCAGTGTTAACCACTGAGCCACTGTGCTGTCCCATGGGAACAAACTCATCCTATCTACTTTGCTGAATTCTTCACCATTTTTACATGTATCCTACCACTGGTAATCTATTCCAGTAAATGGAGATACAGTTTTCTAACTTTGCCTTTATTTTAATTATTTATAGGAAGCTTCACTTTGATGAATCTGCACCGTTATTTTTGTTTAGCTTTGATATCCTGCTTGTACTGTAGAGATATAAGCTGCTCACTGTGATCTTACTGAGGTTTTACACAGATTCAGCATTATATACATTAATTTTACATTTTGTATCACTAACCCTGGAAGTGAAAGCCACTACCTCACAGTTCTAATTCACTGCCTCTCGCACCCTTTCTTCCTTTCCTTCAGTCCCTGAAGAATTCCTTTAGAAGTTAATTAGAGATCCAAAAGAAACTCCAGTGGATCGTCACTGTGTGCGCTTAGGGAATAGGTTCAAACGATCAGAAAGCGGCTCCCAACTGTTCATTTAGTTAGTAACAAGCATATGAATTAGGAGTTAGTGTAGGCCACTTGGCCTTTTGAACTTGTTGCACCATTCATTAAGATCATACCTGATCTGATTATTCCATATTTCCACCTAACCCGATGACCTTTCACCTCTCACCCTTGCTCACCCAGAATCTATTTACCTCTGCCTTAAAAATGGTCAAAGATTGTGCTTCCTTATTTTTTTTGAGGAACAGACTTCCAAAGACTGTCAACTCTGTGAGAAAACAATTCTCCTAAATTCTATTCTAAATGGGTGACCTCATACTTGTAAACAAGCATCCCTACTTTTAGGTTCTTCCGTAAGAGAAATATCCTCTCCACATCCACCCTCTGGATCTTGTATGTTTCAATCAATTTGCTCCTTACACTTCTAAACTCCAGTAAATACATGATTATCCTGTCCACCCATTCCAGGAATTAGCCTGGTAAATCTTGTTTGAACTGCTTCCAAATCATTGACATCTTTCCCTAAATAAGACAACCAACACACTTCCCAGTACTTAAGATGTTGTCTCACCTGCATAACTGATTCCTAACTTCTTTACTTTTGTATCCAATTTATCTGGCAATTAATGGTAGCGTTTTGTTAGATTTCCTAATTACTTGCGGTAGGCGGATTCTAACCTTTTGCAATTCATGCAGTTCAACACACTGCATCTCTACATCTCAGAGCTCTGCAATTCTCTCACTGAATAGTTGCTGTAGCTATTAAGAATGGCAGTACTGGAGAATGCAGAAGGACAAACCTGTTGTTTTTGGGATGGTGATGACAGTGTACATGCAATGTGCAAGTGTGTTTCTTAATCGGGGGACGAGGTGTACGGGATATCCAGAGTTCCAGCAGGGTGCTCCCCACTACTTGTAGAAGAGAGAAAAGCGATATTTTTGGGAAAAGTGTTGGGACAAAACTTTTGACGCAGAGGAGGAGAAATGGCAGACATAAAAGTCATGACATGATGATGCTGGTTAGTAAGTATGCTGACGATGCCAAAATTGGTGGTACAGTGGACAGTGAAGAAGGTTATCTAAGATTACAGAGAGATCTTGATCAATTGGGTCAATGAGCTGAGGAGTGGCAGATGGAATTTAATTTGGATACGTGAGGAATTTCATTTTGGTAAAACAAAGAAGGGCAAGACTTTTATACAGTTAAAAATAAGGCCTTGGGTAGAGTTGTAGAGCAAAGATGCCAAGAGGTTCAAGTAAGTAATTCTTTGAAGTTTGCGTCTTACATAAACAGGGTGGTTAAGAAGGCATTTAGCACACTTGCCTTCATTGTTCAGACCTTTGCGTATAGGAGTTGGGACATCATGTTAGAGTTCTACTGGACATTGGTGGGGCTTCTTCTGGAGTACTCTGTCTAGTTCTGGTTGGCCTGTTACAGAAAGGAATTATTAAACTGGAGAGCATTCAGAAAAGATTTACCAGGATGTTGCCAGGAATGGAGGGTTTGAGTTTTAAGGAGAGGCTGGATGGGCTGGGACTTTTTTTTCACTGGAGTGTTGAGGGTTTGAGGGGTTATAAAGGTTTGTAAAATAAAGAGAGGTATAGATAAGGTGAATGGCAGGTGTCTTTTCCCTGGGGTGGGGTATTTCAAGACTGGGGCATATTTTTAAAGTGAGAGGAGAAAGATTGTAAAAAAAGACTTGGGGGCAACTTTTTTACATAGAGTGGTTCATGTGTGGAATGAATTTCAGAGGAAATAGTGGATGTGAGTACAGTTACAGTGTTTAAAAGACTTTTGGGTAAGTACATGAATAAGATGGGTTTGGAGGGATATGGACCAAGACGGGGCAGGTGGGACTAGTTTAGTATGGGATTATGGTCGGCATGGACTGGTTGGACCGAACGGTCTTTTTCCATGCTTTATGGCTCTATGACTCTATGACTGACAGTGGAAATTTTATAATAAATCTGACTCTAATCCTATCATAGCTTATTGGTGTTTTATTATTGCACTGCATTGTGATTTATTACCAGTGTTTTTTCTTAATACCAACAAATTCTTATTAATGTCGTAGTTTGTTCTCGCAAAGTGTTTTAATTTAGATTTACTTGTGACATTGCAGATTAGATCTTGAGTCTCCAATGTGTAAACTGTACTCCTTTATTTCCCCCACCTTTTGGAAATAAGCAAGCTATAAAATTTCGGCTATTGAAAGATTGCAATTAAGTATACTTAGCCTATTTATGTTTTTTTTCAATAAAAATATTTTCCACCTGTTTGGTCACCTGAAGGCATTCATGCCTTGTTGAGGTGTGATTCCATGGGGTGATAAAGCTGTAGGTGTAATATTCTTACGTGATCCTTCTCCATTTATGTTGGTGAGTGGAGGATGGCGGCAGAGTGATAATATCACTCGTCTAGTAACCTGGACATAGGTTCACGTCCTACCATGGCATCATACATTCAATTAATAAATCTGGAATTGAACATAGGAACCAAGAGTGGGCTCGGTCTTGATGTCATTGAATCATAGAATTCCTGCAGTGCAGATAGAGGCCATTCGGTCCATCAAGTCAACACCGACCCTCTGAAAATCATCTCACCCAGACCCAAACCCCTCATCCCCTTAACCCCGCATTTGCCATGGATAATACCCGCACATCCCTGGATACAGTGGGTCAATTTCCCATGGCCAGTCCACCTAACCTGCACATCCTTGGACTGTGGGAAGAAACCGAAGCACCCAGAGGAAACCCACGCTGACGTGGGGAGAATGTGCAAACACCACACAGTCACCCAAGGCTGGATACAAACCTGGTTCCCTGGTGCTGTGAGGCAGAAGTGCTGACTACTGAACAACAGTGCCGCCCAACCACCCAATGTCATTAGCTTCCAAAGGAATCCAATGATTTGTCACCCTTTGAGTGAAGAAAGTTCTCCTCATTGCAGTCTTAAATGGCCTCCTTACCCTAAGATTATGGCTCCTTGCTAACCAGGAGAAAAGCTACATTCACACCATTACATCTTGTGAGATTTTGACAAGTTACAATAAGTTCACCTCTCAATCCTTGGAACTCTAGGGACCAGCGAATCAGCCTTCTCAATCCCTCCATCCCGTGGATTAATCCCATGAACCTTTCAAATCCCTCCATGGCAAACATATCTCTACTTTGTTAAGTGGAGGTCAAATCAAGGTTCTATAAAACTGCAGCAAGACATCGTTACTCCTGTCATCAAATCTCATTTGAGTTTCAGTAGTGGCGATCGTTAAACTATCATCGATTGTTGTAAAAAATCCATCTGATTTACTACTGTACTTTAAGGAGCTGGGTTGGCCTATGTGTGACTCCAGGCTAACAGCATTCTGGAAAAGCTCAGCAGGTCTGGCAGCCTCTGTGAAGAAAAAAATCAGAGTTAATGTTTTGGGTCCAGTGACCCTTCCTCAGAAC